GTCACCTGGTGCAGGACTCTAACTGTCACCTGGTGCAGGACTCTAACTGTCACCTGGTGCATGACTCTAACTGTCACCTGGTGCATGACTCTAACTGTCACCTGGTGCATGACTCCAACTGTCACCTGGTGCAGGACTCCAACTGTCACCTGGTGCAGGACTTTCCTGTTTGTCACTTAATGGTGCAAAACGTATAATTGTCCAAAACAAATGTGTTACAGTAACAGCACAGTGTATGACTGGGGTGGGGCAGTTACAGCCCCCCCTACCCCTCCACCCTGGTACTACATCATCTGAAGACGCCTGTCTGTTCTTCTTCTACAGGAAAGCTGTTGGAGGTAACGTCTCCGTTATGATGTCATCTTGAAAGTGGGCGGGACAACATGACCCTGAGTGAGTGAGGGGGAGGGGTCACATCCCTTGGCTTCTTCCTCATTTGCCTCCTGTTTCATCCGACCAAACGACTGGAATGCCATTACGGTGTGGCTGTGCACCCCCCTCTCCCCAGCTCTCCCCCCTCTTCTTCCCCAAGCTGCCCTTTTCTCTCCCCCTCACGTAGCTCTGCCCTCCTTCTCCCCCCCCCCACCATGCTGTGGTCATGCTGCTGGAGTCGATCCTGAGGACGTAGACTCTGGAGGGCGACCCTGCTCAGCCGGGGGACTACCACCTGGTGAGTCCACTGGAGACCCCCACCCGACCGGGACAGGGTCTCACATGTTGTCAAACCTTACAAGTAAAAAAAAATGTGGAAACGTCAGTGTCTTGGACAACAATCCTGCTGTTTTGAAGCTAATGTTGATGGAATATTTTTGTCTTTATTTTCTTGAGTGATTTCCCAGACTCCTCCAGGGTAAAGCCAGGTTTATCTTCAGCTTGTCCTCTGTCTCTAGACTCAATGTTGACTTTTTCAGTCCTTAGTTTGACCACGTGGCTCAACTTGACTAACTTCATACTTTACCTTCACCAACAGTTTAGTTCAGCTCTGTGGACCAGCGGTGGGACCGGGCTGGAAGTGTCTGTCCTCCGTGTGTTACCTTTTATATTCATACTCCTTTTATCCTCGTGTCTGTTATTGTCTAGGAGTGGGCCGTGTGATGTGGGCCGTGTGATGTGGGCCACAGTGAAAGAGGGCTGGATGTCTTTGGTTTGTGTTCATTGGTCATTGGCAGATTGTTGACCACAGATGTTCTGTGAATGTTAGTGGCCCCTCAGTGGACACTAACATAACACACCGTTATATATGGTATGGTGACTATACCGCCCCCTGCTGGTCTGTCTGCCTCACTCTTGGCTTCAGATGATTCAGTTCAGTTCTTCTCTGTCTTCATGTCGTGTCTCTGATGTTTGTCTCCTGCTAAATTAACACTGTAGTTACCACAAATGGCCACTTGGTGGTGCACTCGGACCACAGCGGTGCAGCGAGCCTCACCCCCAACATGTTGATGTGTTCTCTGTCTTTCAGTCCCTGCTGGACCCGAACTCTCTGGCAGAGTGCTGCCCCCCTGATGGCTCCATGCCTGGTCAGTGTCCCCTCCTCCCTCTGCCTCCACCCAGGCCTCCGTCAGGTTCTAGACCCTGTAGTTTAGGACAGTGAGTCTGTCACGTGACCAGAGTAACGTTAGTCCAACACTGAAGTACGGAGATTCAGTTACAGAATGACCACAGGAGGCAGCAGTGGACCAGTCCTGTCTTTGATAATATCACTGATGTTCTCTGTCAACTTTAGAAAATTAAATTAAATTAACTCTCTCTGTGTGTGTGTGTGTGTGTGTGTGTGTTGCAGAGAGCAGCTACTGGCAGCTCTGTCCTCCCTCTAAGACCAGCCTACAGGGGGGGTTGCTGAGCTCTAGTTTCCCGCCCGGCCCCGTGCCCTTGGTGCCACCTGATGCTCACCTGCAGGAGGGCGGGGTCGACCCGCTGGACAGGACGTCTCAGCCTCAGCAATCGCAATCACAGCACCACCCGCTGGCTCCGAGCACCTCTGCGTCAGAACTGTCCCTGCCCGGGGCGACTGCTGCCGCGCTCGCCGGACCTCCTGCGCCCGGTCTCCCCCCTCCTCCGCCGCCGCCCCCTAAACGCCACTGCCGCTCACTGTCGGTGCCCGAGGACCTGTCCCGTTGCCGTTACACTTGGCGGCCGAGCGCCTCGAGGGTCTGGACGCCCGTTAGCCGCCAGCAATGTCACGGTGCCGTCGGAGGAGGGGTCACGGGTGCCGCAGGAGGAGTTATAGGGGCGGGGGCAGCAGGCGGCGGCGCCTGCCCCCTGCGTGCTCCTAGCTCCTCCCTGAACTCGTCGCTGCACTCCTCGTCCAGCCCCACCTTCTTCAGCCTGGCGCTCTCGCCAGACTCGCCGCTGCCTTGGAGCTTCCCCTGGGATCCCAGCGAGGCGGCGGCAGGAGGAGCGTGCTGCTGCTTCTTCCCTTCCCCGTCCTCCTGCTCCTCTTCGCCTTCGCCACTGCACCCGCCTCCACCTCCTCAGCGGCGTTTTTCTCTATCGCCCGTGCTAATCAGAGACTCGGCGGCCTCCACCTTCCTGCCTCCTCCGCCCGTACCCTGCCAGGCGGTTTGCGCCGGGGCCGGGCCCCCGCCCGTCATGGCCGGGGCCATGTCTGGAGGGCCGGTTCCCGCCTCGCCCTCCTCCGCCTGCAGCACGCCGTCGTCGCTGCGTCGCAGCCTGCCGCCGCAGCTGCCGCGGTGCCATTCGCAGCCCTGCGACCTCCTGCTGCTCAAACCGGGTCTGAAGAGGCGGCGTGACCCGGACCGACCGTGTGCTCGACCGGTGCTGGACTTCACCAAGATGACACAGGTGAGTGACGTCAGAGGTCACCACAGGGTCAAGGTTCAGATGAAAGAAGGCACACAGGTGAGTGACGTCAGAGGTCACCGCAGGGTCAAGGTTCAGATGAATGAAGCTGAGGCTGCTTCTGTCAGAGTTTACCCAGAATTCCCTGTTGTTGAGAGTTGAGAGGGAAAACAGGAAGTAGAGTCAGAAGACAAACAGGAAGTAATAAGAATGATAGAACAAGGACGGTGGTCAGTGGTCAGTGAAAAACTGTCTGGAAAAAAGTCTGTGTCTGTTGGTGTGGTCTGTTGTTGTGGTCTGTTGATGTGGTCTGTGGGTGTGGTCTGTTGTTGTGGTCTGTTGATGTGGTCTGTTGATGTGGTCTGTTGATGTGGTCGTGTGGTGTGGTCTGTTGATGTGGTCTGTCGGTGGGGTCTGTCGGTGTGGTCTGTTGTTGTGGTCTGTCGGTGTGGTCTGTCGATGTGGTCTGTTGATGTGGTCTGTCGGTGTGGTCTGTTGTGTGTGTTGTTGTGTCCTCACACTGAGACTTCCTGTCGTCCCCACAGACACGCAGCCTGGACCCTCAGTGTCTGGAGCGCGGCGGCAGGTTGATGTGCGGCGGAGGCGACCTGTGCATGGGAATGGAAGCGTTCATGGGCGACTTCCGACGCTCCTGCTCCCCGGCCGAGTGTCTGGGCCGGACCAGCATTGGACCGCTGAGCGAGAGCGAATAGGAGTGCCGCGAGGACGACGACGACGACGAAGACGAAGACGGCGAGGAGGGAGAAGACGAGCGCGAGGCGGCGTCGGCGGGGCAGCAGGCGGTGTTTGAGCGAGACTGTACAGAACTGGACCTGAACCTGATCGAAGAAAACTGACACCTTTGTACATGAATGCTCTTCTTCTCTCTTTCTCGTCTCCACTTTCTTTTAACGCCATTCTCAGCCCCGCCCACGCTCTGACCCACCCCCTGATCTGGAAACGCCTCCTCGCAGTCGGCCGGTGAGGCTCTCAGGAACAACGCCGTTTCTCATTGGATGAGCTAAGCTAAAGGACGACGACAGTGATGATGTGGCTAACGGCTAACGGCCCGCGGCTCTCTGCACCCGTGCTCTTGAAGTGACCCGGTTTCCAACACTGGTGGCGACTCAGTCTTCCAACATGAAACGACAACCGATGTAAAAGTTGCAGTTTTGATGTGACTGTCGCTGCGGAGCAGCGCTAACCTAACGCAACATCGCTGTCCATTAGCATTCACCGACCAATCAGGACACATCCACGGTTGGTTTCGTATTTGTTACAATTGCTCAACAAAAAAGTGCGTAAACAATGCTACACCGGTGGTTCACAAAGCGTGGGGCGGGTCCCCCTTGGGGGATATGAAGGTATTGCAGGGGGCCCGCAGCCAAATTGAATTCGATCTTTAGTTTTTGTTTGTTTGTCTCGCAGCATGAAATCGGTTCTTTTTTGCAAAGAAGATTTTTTTTTTTAAATTTCAATCTGATCTTCAACCAGAGACAATGAAAAGTTTGACACAAAGATCTTTTGTTGTGGTTAAAAATATAAATGAATCAAAGCTCATGACCATTGGTTCAAAAAATGAGGACGAACCACTGGTGTCCGGTGTGAACGCACTCTAAAACTGCAGCTGGGTTGCGTTCAGGTTGTTGCTGCCGTGCAGCGACGGGCGGTTGTTCTGCTGAGGGCAGGAGGCCACTGATGCTGTTGTTTGGACGAGTGTTGTATCTGTTGTGTGTGTGTGGTGGTGTTACCTACAGCCACGTGGAGATCCGACGGTTGACTCCGTTTCTGTTGGTTACATCTAGAAAACCTAGACCAAAAGTCGTATCTTTATCTTTTTAGTATTTAATAACAACATTTTACAACAGCCTCATTCAGATCTGCTCTGAACTGCACGGACGCTTCTCCCACTATAAAGACACGGGGCAGTTTAGGTGGGGGGGTGAGGGGGGGGTTGAAACCAGTACCAGTACCAGTACCAGTACCAGTACCAGTACCAGTACCAGTATGACCAACAGCAGCACAGACGTAGAAGAAATTGTACTCCTAATAAGATTACCAGACCAGTTGTACCAGTTCCTGTAACTGGTTCCCACTTAAAAAAAGAAAGATTAAAAGTAGAAAAATCGGATTCCTCCATGTACCACTAGAGGGACCCTAAGTACCAGTTGTGGTACACGTACCATCGATTATGAACCACTGGATGATGATGTTGCTGAAACCAACTGTGGACACAAAGTTTGTCAACAACAAACAGCAGTCCACTGCTGCCCCCTGTGGTCAGTTTGGGTGAGTGAGATCAGTCTGAACACAGCAGTGGACGACTGTTGTTGTTGGAGGTGTAGACATCTTAGTGGCTTTTTATTGCCCTCTAGTGGCTTCCTCTGGTAACAGCGCACAGCAGTTGTTTGTCTGTGGTCGATCCCTTTACACACTGGAGATAAACCACGAGTTCAAATTGTAAAATGACAATCAGTTAAGATGAATATGAGAAAAAAACGTTTTCTACACAGCAGACAGTCTTTAATGCTGTGGAAATATCCCACAATGCACCAGGACAAACCTCTGTATTTGGCTTCAATCACAGTTTAAATGATGACTGTGATGAAGAACGTTTTATCTTGAACAAATCAGTGTTAAAAAAAGTCACTTTCTTTTGGGGTTGATAGTTGGTCCCTTAGTTTTATGTTGAATATTTACATTTTAGCACAAATGTAGAAATGTGTATTTATATTTTTTCATTTTTGTCTAATTTATTTCCCTCAGAAAAACCCTCTGTTTTTGACTGGGATTAGGTTGAAAAGACTGTGTCGACATATTCACATCCAGCCAGGGCCTGACGCAAAAACACACGCATTTCCCTCTCCACTACCCCCTACTGGTTGGTCGTACTGTTCCTTTGGTTAAAACTCAGTTGAAGCCTTAACTGAACAAACTGGACTCTTCTGTAAATTAAAATAAAAAAAGAATGAAAAATGAAAACAAACGTACTACGAAAAGGAAATTGTTAACTGTAGCTGTTGAATTTTTAGTCCTTGTGTTTTTTTTCTTCACATTTCTTTGCTAACGTGAAGGGGAACGTGGGATTTAAAAAAAACTGCGTAGAACGTTAGCGCAGATACACGTCACCTTTTGTCTTTTAGAAAATGTTTTTTATCGTATGTGATTTTAAAAAAAAAACTGAACACAAGGATTTGAAAAACAGTTTGTGAATAAATTAAGTCTAATGAAAATATTTTCAAAGAAATGGAAACGTTGTCGCCCTGTCATTATTGTCATCAGATCGAAGGAGAGTCGGAACATTTTTATCCTTGACATAACGAGAGTAAAACGTGGTGATAAAATGGTAGCGGTCCCCCGCCCCTGTGTTTGAGACCCGTCAGCCCCGACTGGTCCAGACCCTGGTCAGGTCCAGGAACGAGAGAGCTGGAGGATGAAGTGACATGGAGGAGTTTTATTATTTTTTTAAAAATCAAAAGTGCTTCATCAAAGATAGGTTAACAGATGAGATATTTGACTTTGTCTCAGAAAACAGTCCCAGGAACATTTGGAGGAGAATCAGTTCTTCTCCGCAGGAGCATTCTCAGAGGAGGAGGAGGAGGAGGAGGAGGAGCAGCTGCCGGACTGGGTCACCACACTGGACGAGGAGGTGATGGCCGGCGCAGAGGTGACGCTGATGGGGACAACCCTCTCCTTCCCATCATGCAGTGCTGTGTGGCGCGGGGCCTGGATCTGCAGGCGTCCTCCCACCAGGGTGCAGCTGACGGCCTCGGGGTCAACGCCCTCGGGTAAATCCAGCTCCTGCCTGAACTCCTGACACCTGTAGGAGTAGGAGCCCTTCCCGTCCTCCTGCTTCTTCTCCGTGCGCCCGCTCACCCTCAACTTCTTGCCCACCTGCTTCACTGACAGCTCCTGGGGCAGGAAGTCCTGGGTGTCCAGGCTGAGGGCGAAGCTACCGCCGTCCCCAGCCGTCTCCTGGTAGGAGATGGGCGAGAACGCCCCCCTGGACGCGCCGTGGTCGATCTCGTCGAAGATCTTCTGGTGGAGTCGCTCCATGTACTCCATGCTCTGCTTCATCTCCTGCAGGTGGCGAATCATTTCCTGCTCCATTTGATAGAAGATGGGCCGGGTCTCGGGCCAAAGGCTACGGACGGGCCAGTGCAGGTCCAAGAAAGGCCTGGCGGCGAGGGCGGACGGCTGGAAGACGCTGGGACACAACATCCTGCTGCTGTGAGCGAGCTTCAGTCTGGAGTCTGGATCTTTGTCTGAGCTCCTGCTGTTTATATAGCAGCAGAGGCAGCGGAAAGTTCCAGCAATATCTCTGTGTGTGTGTGTGTCAGTCACACTCTAAATGTGGCCTGATGCCACATGCCAACGCAACTCAGCTTTGTTCTATTTCTGCTGCTACACTCTGTCATAGTTTTTATAAAGCAGCTGAGAAACTCACTGACCAACACACTGACCAACACACTGACTGACCACCAACACACTGACTGACCAACACTAGTTTTTATAAAGCAGCTGAGAAACACACTGACCAACACACTGACCAACTCACTGACCAACACACTGACTGACCAACACACTGACTGACCTTGACTGCTGACCATATATATTATACATATATTTATATATAATGTCCAGAAGTGAATATTTCTATTTGACCAAAGTGTTGAGACACGTTTTAAGGAAACAGTTTAATCATCATCAGGTAGTGTGTGTGAGCGCCCCCTCCTGGGTCAACAAACAGCCTTGACCATTACAGTGTGTTTGTGAATCACTTGTTAAACTCCACTGAATTATAACTTTGAACTCTTCGTGTTTCTGGTGGGGAAAAAATAAAGTCTTCAAAGAACACGTTGAAACTTAACAAAGCTGTTGATTTATTTAACGTCTTTTAAAAAATAATAAAATAAAAAACCCGTGCAGTTTCCCTCGATGTAAATGTTTTTGGAGACGAGGACCTGGAGAGTGAAACCCACACAGATTTATCAGTTTTATTGTAATTCTTCTAACAGTATAAAATGTCTCGACCAGACGAAGTAAAAACCTTGGAGGATGCGGGCATCGATCCCGCTACCTCTCGCATGCTAAGCGAGCGCTCTACCATTTGAGCTAATCCCCCGTGGTGTAGATCGGAGAGAACGACTGTGTTAATGACTGAGAGTTATGACGTAGACCGAGTGTTTCTGATGCTGACGTCGTCGCTCACTTTGATCATTTGTCATATTAAAATATGGCCGCGCTAAGTCTGAAAAGTACAAGACCCAGTTGTAACGTTTACACTTTGAGGGGCGGTGCCGCCAACTGCTCCGAGGTCAACGGTCTCACAGGAACACATCCAAATAAGGTCTGCGGAAGTGGTGACGCGGTTGAAGCCCTCTGTACAAAACAACCGACAACAGCTGTGACGTGTCCACGGGGTTTCCGGCAGTGGCGTTTATGGCTGAAAGGTGTGTACGCCGTTCAAATGTCCCGGTCGGAGGACACTCGGCTCGGTTCCTGCAGGACAGAGCCCGGGGTTGGACCACATTAACACCGCAGTGGTCAACGCAAGAAGTGGATGAAGCGGCGGAACTTCCGGGTGCGTCCCGGGCGCTGAGCGGTAAAACCATATATGGACTTCTTCCACACCATATTAGGGAATGTACGTCACACAGAAGTCTTTATAAAGGCCGAGGTTACGAGCGAAGTTACGCGAAGCAGCTCAGGTTCAGGTTCAGGTTCAGCTTCAGGTTCAGGTTCAGCTTCAGCAGAACAGTCAATAATCACAACATGAGACGTTCACGGTCCCGGCGGTGATTCCACAAACGCCAGTCTCCAGCCTCGGCTTCCTCAGAGCACGGCAGCCCGCAGCAGCAGCAGAGGCAGCCCGCTTACAGCTCCTCTCTGTCCGCCCCAGGTGCAGAGAGCGACTCGGTGACTGAGCTCCGGCACCGCTCCTCCGTCTCCCTCCGTCTCCCTCCGCTCCTCCTCCTCCTCCTTCAGGGAGATGGCAGCGACCAAAGCAGAGTTGTTTCTCTCCGCCTTGCAAATCACGGAGCCGCTCACCGGCTTCCCGTTGCCGCTCTCCCCTCTGGACTCGTACCCGAAACTTGAGGAGCTGCAGATGCTTTTGCGAAGTGCCGCCGCCGCCGCCTCCGCAGCCGAGGGAGCGGCGCTGCTGAACTCCGAGCCCGGGGAATTCGGAGGTGAGCAGCCGGTGGGTCCTCCGTCTCCATTTAACTAGTATTATTATTATTATTACTAGTAATTACTAGTGTTGTTATTGTTTTTGTGTGTATCTTTTCTGGTTGTTCATTTCCGGTACAACTAAAGATACCGGAGACTAAATCAACTGCTGCATTAAAATAATTAGTGACTTTTCAAACTAGGGTCGAGTCAGACCAGAACCACTGCTGCCTCACGTGACAGTCCAACAGAAATGTCTTTTTTTTTTTTTTTTAAATACTCTGCTTCTTTATGAAGATTCTGTTTGTGGCCACACGAGGCAGTAGTAGACCCTCAAAAACCTGCTCAGGTCGTCAGTATTTACCTGTTGGTTCTTGTGTCCTCCCCCAGATCCACTCTCGGACCTACTGGACCTACAGAACCTCACCCCTCGCCTCACCCCTCTGTCCTACAGCGGCCGCTTCACCTTTGAGCAGCCCTCTACACCGGTGTCCTCTGTTGGGGGGGGGCTGTGGGGGGAGCCCTTACTCAGCCTGTTCACAGGTTTGGTAAGCATGGCCGCCCCCCCCCTCGGAGCCTCGGCCTCTTTAACTGCCCCGGTGACATCATCGGTGTCCCAGCCCAGCTTCAGCTGTGGCTCCACGGATGTGACCTCGTGCTTCCCTGCCACCCCCGCCTACACCTGTGCCACCGGCTCCCAGAGCTCTCAGCCCCAGGGCCCCCCCCCCGCCTACCCTGCCTCCACCTGCGGACTCCAGCCCCCGTCTCTGACTCTGCTGGCTCTCTCTGACCGTCTGTTGCCCCAGCAGCAGGACCAGAAGCCCCTGCTGCTGCCCCCCCCCCAGGGTCCCAACCCTCCCATTACTCCACTGTCCACCATTAAAGCTTTCTCCGCTCAGATCCAGAGCGCCTCCCACCAGGTGGCGTCCTCTTCCAAGTCCTGCCGGCTCAGGAAGCACTCGAAGACTCCGCCCCACGAGCGCCCGTACGTTTGCCCCGCCGAAGGCTGCGCGCGGCGCTTCTCCCGCTCCGATGAGCTAACGCGTCACGTCCGTGTGCACACGGGCCAGAAGCCCTTCCAGTGCCGCATCTGCATGCGCCACTTCAGCCGCAGCGACCACCTGACCACGCACATCCGCACGCACACGGGCGAGAAGCCCTTCGCCTGCGCCGAGTGCGGGCGCAAGTTCGCTCGCAGCGACGAGCGCAAGCGTCACGCCAAGATCCACCAGAGGCAGCGCCGGAGCGACAAGACCTCCGACTCCTCCGCCCTTTACTCCCCCCCTCCCCCCCCTCCCCCCTCAGCCCCCACCTCTACTCCCCCTGTCAGCAGCAGGAGCGTGTCTCCCTGTCCTCATCTTCATCATCTTCATCTTCATCTTCATGTCTCTTGACTCCACCTGTCAGTGACGGAGGAGACTCTGGACCACCGTTCTGACCTGTTGATGTGTATAATGTGAACACACACACACACACACACAGGCGCTGTGTGTGTGTGTGTGTGTGTGTGTTCAGCTTCTTCCTACTGTGTAGGATTGGACTTTTTTATGTCACGTGTTTCCTCTTCAGAGCAGAGAGAATAAATGTGTCGTAGATTCTGAGCTGATTCTGTCGTTTGTTTGTTTTTTCCACTTCTTCAAAGACTTTCTTCAGAGGGCAGTCGTTGAAGAGTCCGTACTGTAACGATAGTGTAAAGGTCGTGACCTGGTCACTGGCCAGTCTGTAGACCACACCACCACAGACCACCACAGACCATCGGCTCCTGTCACTGGGGTTTGTTTTTTTGTGAAGGCATTAGATTGACACACACACACACACACACACACACACACCAGACCGACCTGTCTGTCCACTTGTCATGTCTGTCTCTCGCCCTACAATGAAGGAAGTTCCTTATAAGGGCACCCGGAAGAAGAGTGGAGGAAACAGGAAGCGCCATATTTGGTCATGTGCAGCTGCAGCGAGAAGTGAAAGTGAGAGAAAGTAAAATATATGAAGAAACAAAAGGAAAGTTTTCTTTCTTTGTTTTGATCCATTGATGTTTCTTGACTGTTTTCTCTTTTCGTGCTCATTTACCTTTTCTGAGCGGAAACTTCCAGAAATGTTGACAAAAACGTTTCCTTTCCCGTGTTAGGCGAGTTAATGTTCTGGCCACTAGATGGTGCTAACGTTTTATTTCAGAACGATGAGGACACATTTCAGACAACGTTTGAAATAATTAGTTGAAAGTTTAAGAAAATAGATCATAATTGTACAATGACGTGAATGTGTCCCGACAAAAGTCAAAAATAAGACAACGTTTGATTGAGTCGAAGGTTTAATCAGCTGAATACATCCCATTTTAATACATCACGTGTGTGTGTGTGTGTGTGTGTGTGTGTGTGTGTTCAGTCCAGTGTGTAGATGTTCTCCTGGACTCCTCGCCTCCTCCTGATCTCGTAGATGATGTGAGGAAACTCCTCAGAGGAGAAGCTGCAGGAGGAACACATCACTGACAGCCTGGACACAAACAGAGATAAAAACACTGACGGTCTGGAGTTCAGGTCAGTTGAACTTTATTTAAACTTTTTTTTTTTACTAACCCCAACCTGAATTAAAGCAAAGGTCAAACTAATTATTTAACCCATGACTGTTGTTGACTGACGCTGCTTCAAGTTTGTTTTTTAAAACATTGTAAACATGTTATTTAGCCCTGATACTACACCAAGTTGTTTTACTCCTGTCCAGCAGGGGGGGACAATAAACCACACAAAATGATAAAGGTGTAGTCAGTCAAAGAAGTCGACCTCACCAGCTGCTGCTCAGGGCTCGTCTGTAAACTCCACCTACAGGATTTGGTGACATTTGTCGTTTAGCAACAGAACAAAACCAAACTGTGGGGAAACATTTTCTTCTGGTCTGAACTGTTTCACCTTTAAAGACAAGGACGAGGAAAACCACTGCAAAGATGAACAAGAGCAGGATGGAGAGGGAGAGGACGGGAACGTTGACCTGAAGGGAGACCGAGGATAGAGAGTCATCGACCTGATACACACAGAGAGAGAGAGAGAGAGAGAGAGAGAGAGAGACCCGTTAATGCCACACAGAGCCACTGTGATTGGCCAGATCAGAGGCGTGGCTGCTCACAGTGGCGGCGTCTGAACGCAGCATGGTGGCGTTGTTCCTCAGGTCGACCTCGGGAGACAACGAAGTTTCCACATTTTCTGCAACAAACAAAAAAAACAACTCTGTTTTAGGTCTGACACCAAAAACAAGTCGGGACTAGAGCTGACCGACAGTTTGTGTAAACGTGTCACCTGTGGAGGTGTACGGCCCCGCGGCCTGGCTCACTGTCGTCGTTGGTGTTATAGATGTTGTTGTCGTCGTTGTTGGAGAACTAGTGGCCGGAGCTGGAACTCCAGACGAAGTGTGATGTCATCGATATGTCCGGAAGGAAAAGGACACAAATGAAATTGGAAAAAAAATGAACAGAAACATCTGGAGGTGAAAGGTCGGAGCTCCTGCATGGTGACACGAAGAGATCTGGCCTCTGATTGGCTGATTGATCTACCTGCCAGATGTGGACCAGACCGGTTAGTTCTGGCCAACGTTCACGAGAACTGTGACTAGAACTCTGGGTAGAAGACCAAGGTGGCTCAACATAAGGCACCACCTGTGGTTCTGGTTTCAGGTCTGGCTCTGACAGAACCTCTGATACAGTCCAGTCTGAGTATGGAGCTGTGGACGCAGACCACGGTCGGGGCCCACGGAGGTGTCGGCCCAACAACCCACGACTCACCTTTGATCACTCTCAGGTTCATGATGACCTTCTTGTCGTTGAAGATGCCGTCCACATCCACCCTGCAGCAGTACAGTCCACTGTCCGTCCTCCTCACATTCAGGATGTCCAGGTCCATCTGTCCATCCAGGATGTCGCCCGTCAGCCGGTACCGATCCTCCACCTGCAGGTTTGAATCTAGACCTCAGTTCAACCCAAAAATATCTCCAAATATTTTCAACAAACATCTTAGAATTCAAACAGTTTCATCTGAGCAGTGAAGGTCCAGCTGAAGTTCTACTGAACTGAACCTCAACTCTGGACCACAACATGTAGGACGGCAGCGTGAGTGGAGGCGTTCAGGTGACCTTGGAGACGATGCCGTTCTGGTCCGTCTGCACCACGATGTTACTGCACCAGAAGGTTCCGCAGCCGCGGCCCCAGCACACGCGACTGAGGCCCGAACGCTTCACGGAGTAATGACAGGACAGGGAGGCCACGCCCCCTTCCAACACCTTAAAGGAGTTGACGCCACCAGGGTGTCCACCTGCAAAACCAAACACAACGGCACCGAGTCACATGACCATGACGTCACAGCCACAACGCCACGTAAACAAACCTGCAGTCGGCGTCTCGGTTTGTTGTGACATCATCAGGTTGTGTGATGTCATCAGGAGGCGTTGTGATTGGTTCTCACCTGAAAGAACGAAGAGGACGACGATGAAAATGTGGGACAGTGACGGATGGTGGTGAGGGGAGACCGCAGCCATCGTGTGTGTGTGTGTGTGTGTGTGTGTGTGTCACTGTCCAGTTAGACAACAACATCTTTGTGGGTAGCTGTGTGTGTGTGCGTGTGTGTGTGTGTGTGTGGAGATGTCTCTCACAAGCCACTCTGTCTTTCTGCTCACACACACTCTTGTTCTCTATCAGCTCTGACATCACTTCCTGTATCTGTGTTTTATTTTGTTGACATTGTGTTTTTGTGTAAACATCAGTCTGAGTTTGAACGACGTTCCAGAGGTGACGCGTAACCAACTGACATGGTCTGTGAACCTCATCAACTGACATGGTCTGTGAACCTCATCAACTGACGTGGTTCTCTTCTCTAACAGAAACTCTGGAACATCTGAACCTCATCATGAAACAACAACAGAAGAAGAAGAAGAAGAAGAAACAGGAAGTGGACAGAGTTCCACTGGAGAACACTGTTGGTGTCTGTGGAACACGGTCTTCCCACGTTCTGTTCCAACACCTGAACGGCTCTCAGCCTACGTAGGACCTGACGTCTGGGTTTGATGGTCGATCAATACCAATGTTTTGATTCACATTGTTAAATCTGTAATAATGACACAGTCCTGTTGTTATTACTGTTTTATTGTCTTTGTTTATATTGTCAATTACAATCTCCTTCCTTCAGATTACAGGGCCAGCCGGGTTTGAACCACTGACCGTCAGCAGGTCTATATAGACCACATACATTAAAAACCTTTTTTAAAAACCGTCACCTCCTCCTGACCCTTCAGGATAAAGACTGTTTATAGACGTAAGAATAAATGAAATAAAACACGGAAACAAACGGTCACGTGTCAAGGCAACAACGGCACTTCCTTTTCCAGTGGTGCAGAAACGTCTGGCCACAAAGTGTTAACGTGTTCTTGAGCTTCTGCAAAATCAGGCATCTCTTCTAACGTGAGTTTAAGATCTCCTAGTTCACAGTACGTGAGGTTCCTTCTCAGCTCGTCTCTGTCAAATTTCAGAACCTGGAAAAAAATTGAAAGATCAGAGCAGAAGGAGAAAGCAAGAAGTCTAGTCCTGGCGGTCTGTGACATCATTACCTGCCCAGGGTTGATACGCATGGCGACAGCAAAATGATCCCAGACGTAGAACTGATGATTGTAGGGCCACAGTTCTACCTTGATCCGTTTTTCACACCAAAAACAAGTCGGGACTAGAGCTGATAGAGCTGGTATCAGGTTCATCTCCAACCTGGAGAGAAGAAGAACCTGTCAGAAACATCCGGTGGTCTACAGGACCACCTGGGGTTTTAGGTCTGCAGCTATTCTCACCGATGTGTTTCACACATGGCCTGCGATCTCCAGATGAACCGTCCGTCATCGTAGGCACAGACGGCGTTTGGATTGTTGCCCAGCGAGGGGTACCTCGGATCTGCTTTGGTGCCCACCAGCACAACGTACATCACTTCCTGTTTATACAGGACGGTTTCGTACACCTGCAGGACCGGCTGAGCCCCGGCGCAAAACTGGAGACAAAAAAGAGATTATTGCTGGACAGACAGTAGGGGGCGCTATCCTAAAGTCAGGAGAAGTTTGTACCTGTTGACTGTAGGCCTCCAGAATCTGCTCCAAAGACAAGGTGAACCGGTACGAACCCATCCTGGATTTCTCTGAAAAGGCCGGCGAGGTGGCGAACCTCCCCAGGAAACTTTCTTGATTCTTCACCTGCTCCTCCGTGCGATCTGGGAAGGTTTTCTCCAGGAACCTGGCCTCGGCCGCTGTTATGTCTTCAGGCTTCACGGCCAGACTCCACCAGAGGAGGGAGTCGTTGCCCCGAAAACCACCGTCCCGGTAGATACCTTCCAGTCCAGAAGATGCTGTGTCGTGTTTCAGATGAGACACATGGAACTCTGGGCGGGGGTAGTCCGGGATGTTGTCTTTGTCGAGGTATCTGTTGTCCAGATGTCGACAGTTCTCCTTCAGTTCTTCTATATTCAGATGTTGTCCTGTCTTGTAACGCTCAGCAACCTTTCTGGTGTTGAGTCTTTTTTCCATCTTTGTCAGACTGTTCTCTGGAATGCTGAGGAATGCTGTGTCGACTAACTCCAACACAGCAGAGTCATGAGGGATTCTGCCCAGTCAGGGCTGGAGTTTATTCACTTGGACACTCCCCATTCACTGGGTTACTCATTTTCAAGAAAACGAAACTTTGCACACACACCCCCCCCCCCCCCCCCCCCCCCCCCACACACACACACACACACACCACACCCTTCAATAAACAAAAAGGAAGTGAACTGAACCACTGGTGATTGTGACTGTTTTGTAAATGCATTGATTCAACCTTTATAACGTATTCATTCTCTTACGTTTCATATCAGTTTATACTATTATTGAGGTGGTGTCGTCTCTTCACCCAGAAAGGTGAACAACGGAATGTCAAGTCACCGAACTCGAAGGCGTTGATTGTTGACCATGTTAACCAGCCAACTGTGAGATGTTCCTCAGTGTAACAATGGTTACATTGTTCTGTAAAACTTTAAAAACTTGAGACTTTTTTATTTGATTCTTTGAGTGTGTGTGTGTGTGTGTGTGTTAGGAAACTAAAGTATGAACTAACAGTCCTGTCTAACAGAGAAAGTTTCCTGACAGTGACCTCTGTTTTTAACCCACCACCACAGCCAGCAGGGGGCAGCAGTGTGCGGGCACGGTGCCATGCTCAGAGCACCTCAGTGGGAACTTGGCAGCTGGTGGACTCGAACCTTCCGGACCCAAGTCCGCTTCTTTAACCACTAATCCACCACTGCAGTTACAGTTACAGTCAGTGATGAGGGAGCTTCAACTGGACTGTGGCTGGACATCAGTGACCACTGCTGTAGTGACTGGACGATAACAAGCCTCCAGTCACTAGGTGGCAGCAACTCTTGCAGTGGTTTGTACAGGCAAATATGTTATCAGGTTCTCAATAGGGGGGGGGGGGGGACAGAAAATAATTGAGAATCACTGGTTTAATGGTTCAACGCCATTTTATTGTGGACAGTGAATACTCTTATTGTGAAGGTTTCGGCGGCCGGAAGTAGTCGGCCTGTTGCAGTCACAGAGTTCTGGAGTTTTATCCCGGTCTTTCTGAATGTGAATTAATTAAACAAAGAATCGTTAAGTTTGTCGTGTGCTGAATGGGGTCAGGGCACTAAACACACGTGACGTCAGAAGCGGTTTTTAAAGTTTGATGCTGGCGATAATGCGGCTAACAGCATCAGCTATCTGTGTTAGCAACAGTTGACAACGTTAGCAGACGTTAGCAGCTCCAGCTGAATGGCCGTGGAGTGGAGTGGCTGTCAGAGTCTACTCGACCGCTGCTGAACTGAAAGGTGAGCTTTTCTTAACTGCTAGCTGTTAGCTAGCATACTGTGACGACACTGAGGTTGAGCTTTTAACGATCAACTTTTTTGTAATATTTTTATTTCTTATTTTGATGTGAGGGCGTAATGGGTTCCAAAGTGAAGTGTTTGTTTAATAGTAGTAAATGTTCGTGATAACAAAACGTTTTAAAACATTTGTCATGTTTTCTGTGTACGTTTCTAAGTACTTTTATTGGGTATTTTAAGTATTAGTCATTTTTAGTAGTCACTCATTTCATAGTTCACTAACGTCGTTACTAAACAGTTAATGTAGGAAATCCAAACCCAGAGGTGAGTTTGTAACAGTCTGTATTTCTCATCCTGATGAGTGTGGCGAGGCACAGACCAAAGGGGGCGCTAAAGCTCTGTTGAAGCCATGTTCTCAGGCACATCAGAAAGACCAACAATTAAGTCATGTCAACAGGCTGACCTCACGCTCGTGTCCCAGGGATTCTGGGTAATTCTGTCTAATTCTGGTACAGGATGCTCCAGGGTCCGTACGGGGGCCTGGAGCGGGACCGGCCCCTCATCCGCCTGCACTTCAGAAGCTTTGTTGTGGCCACGGTTCTGCTGCCCCTCAGTGGTCTCGTCGTCTGCCTCCTCATCTCTCTGTTCTACCACTTCGAGGAGGCCACGTACACACACTGCCAGGTGGGTGCCAGGGTGCCTTCAAGTACCGTCGTAAACATTTGATTGACAGGTGTCTCTGAGTGTGGTTGTTATTGACTCAGCCCTGCGGTGACCTTTCACAAGTTTCAATTTGAAAAAAAGCAGACATATCCCTTTAAAGGAACAAGGATCATACAAGAACGTCACCAGTAGGGCTGTGTCCTGGTGGGAATCTGGAGCTACCACCACACACAGGGCCAACCAGGTGTCTGTTTACCCCTCAGGTGTCCAATTACCTCCCGTCCATCAGCTCAGCCATCAGCCGCGTGCCGGAGCGCTACATCTGGCGCAGCTGCATCGGCCTGCACTCGGCGCCGAGGTACCTGGTGTCCGTGGCTTACTTCAACTTCTACCGCGGCCGCTTCGCCAAAAGGCTGCTGGAGCTGCTGCTGGGAGGACTGGCCCTGGTCTGCAGCCTGGCCGAGAACACGGGGCTGCTGCTGCTCACATACGTGTCCTCCACCGAGACCTACAGTGAGTCAGGAGCAGGGACGCTCCGTCTTCTTCTCCTCCTCCTCCTCCTCCTCCTCCTCTCACCGTCTTCTCTGTCCTGCAGCTGTCCATAAGAACGGCTTCATCGTCTTCATCGCCAGCTCACTGCTCCACATGTTGATCACCTGTCGCCTGTGGCAGGTCATCAAGAGACACTGTGTCAACTCAGAGGTGAGGAGGTACAACCACTGTGTGGTGAGCTCCCCCTGCTGGTGGATCCAGGTTGTAACAAGGCAGATTCACAGGTGGCCAAAACATGGTTGAAAACTGATGTTGGCCTCTTGACCTCAGTGACCTCAGTGACCTCAGTGTTGGTGGCTGTAGAATTTGGCAAATGAAGGGTTAATGAAATGAGTCATTCACGCTTTCAGCCTCATGTCACTAAAATTAAGTCAGGATGGATGGATTTATTGGTTTATGTTTGACAAATCATTAGCTGTTTAATCTCACCTGAATATTAGATTATATACATATATGTGTGTATATATACTGTACAAATACATAAATATATATATTTATACAGTATATATATATATCACTGTGTCAGTGATTTGACAGGGTTACAGCTGTGAAACCTGACAAATGTAGACTTCTAATATCCTTCCTGCATGTGTTTATTTTCTCAGGAAGTGACATCATGTCAATGGAAGATACACCTCTTCCTTCTTAACATCAGCTGTTGCCTGGCTGCTGCTTATTTCTTCAGACGCCACAACAAGTTCTGTGAGAGAGGAGGTACGTGTCCACGTCTTCAGTCCGATGGTCCGGTGAACAGACAAGTATTTATGAGGTCATTGTTCACACCAGGCTGTGTCCATGAAGTGAAGACCAGAAAAATAACACAGAGCCGCCACTAGAGGGCGATAGTTAATGTGCACACCCACAGAAAACGTGAGGAACTCACTGTGTCTGTGTTAGTACTGATTTTGCTGACCTCCACATCTTTTGCTTCTCCCCCACCCCCCCCCCCCTCCAGTCTACACCCTCTTCGCTTTCTTTGAGTACCTGGTGGTCTTCTCCAACATGGCCTTCCACATGACGGCCTTCTGGGATTTCAGCAGTAAAGAAATCATCGTGGCCACGCCTCCCGAGGACAAACGTTTCTGAAGAGAAACTGTTGGAACGTGTCCCGTCTCTGGGATTGGACTCTGCTGGTTCATGGTCACACAGACTGAAGGAGGATGAAGGAGGATGAATCATGGAACCGAAGGAACTGTTTCAGTCCTTTAAATGATTCTGTTGCTTTCACTGCCAGTTAACGCTGAACTGAGATCATTACAAACGGTTGTTTATTTAAAGTCCACCCCCCCCCCCCCCCCCCCCGGCAGTATCTGCTGCAGTGATGTCAGCAGGATGTGATGTCACATCAGCACATTCCTGTGTCTGTGTAAACACAAGTGTGTGCGTGTCGTGCTGTCAGGGCGAGTCAGGACGTGTGTGAGGTAAAACTCCAAGAACGAGGCTGCAGTCAGTCCAGGCCAACCAGACGCCTTCAGTCCACAGAAGATCGGTTCCACAGAAGATCGGTTCCACAGAAGTCCGTCGACGTCTTGAACTTCTTCAGGCCTGAAGAAACAGGAACAGGAAGTGCTTTCCTGTCTCTGAGGAAGACGGGCCTTCCTGGAGGAGGAGGAACAGGACGATGTTGACCAGGAGCTCAGCTCCACCTCAGACTTCCTGCTGGACCTCCGTCTTCAGACCGCCGTGGACGGACATGAAGCCACAGTGTCGTCCAAATCATCGTCTCATCGACAGAAACCATTTTCACTCTGAGGCCTGGTGGTGGCAGTATAACGTATTAATATACACGGGGCAAATTATTAGTCTTTAGAATTTAAATTTAGAACTGAGTCAGGTACACTCCACCACAAGAGGGTTGTTGGTTTGAATCCCAGTCTGTGGGTCGGCCCTTTTTTTTCCAAAATGCTCTTAGCTGGGTCTGCTGCCCCCGGGGGCTGGACCAATCACAGCCAAGGGCTGATGCCTCCTCTTTGTGATTCGCTACTGTTGGATTTGATGGTGTTCATCGTCCTGAAGATTAGACTTTTTGATGTAATCGAAACGTTTTTTTGGTTTGTTTTTTAAACAACGACAGTCAGCTGAAATGATGGTTGGATTTGATTGGTCGACAGATGGAACCAAAACAGCCGTGGTCAGTGGAAACAGACGCAGGTTTCAGTTCATGTGGTTTTAGAGGAAGTGGCTGAGTTTCTGACCTGAACCCTTTTTTTTTTATCTACTTCTGCCAATTGAGACGTGATGTTTCAACATTTTAACATTTTCACAGCAGCCGTCAGCAGGTGGCGACGTCAGCCTTCAAATAAAAACAACAGTTTGTGATTATTAGAAACAAATGTTTATTTATTTAAGTTACTTCTGTTTGAAAATGTTCTTCACGTGAACGACGAGGCTGTGAGTGTGTGTGCGTGTTTGTGTGTGTTTGTGTGTGTGTGCGTGTTTGTGTGTGTGTGTTTGTGTGCATGTGTGTGTGGAAAATAACTAAAAATTCCTGCAAACTAAAAAACAATATTTGAAAAGCTTCTCAGAACAGTCCCTCAGCAGGAGTCGGCCTCTGCCAGGTGGTGGCGCTGTTGTGGTTGTCATGGTCACGGTGCTACAGCAGGACACAGGGCCTCTTGCTGACCACGGGCTGCGGGTTTAGAAACGCCCTCACGGCTTCGATAAACACGTCCTTGATTCCGTCTTGGTTCAGAGCCGAACACTCCAAATAACGCACTGCCTGGATCTGCCGAGCCAGTGCTGCCCCCTGCTGGTGGCTGATGGGCGTCTGGTTCTGCTCCTTCAACTTTTTCTGAGTGTCGGCATCGTTGCGGAGGTCGCTCTTTGTGCCCACCAGGAGGATGGGAATGCCGGGACAGTGGTGAGACACCTGCGGAGGAATGGAGTGAGTTTTACTTCATCTACTACTTCAGCTGACTGTCTGTACTGTCAGTACTGTCTGTTAACTATTGGGTCTCCCAGACAGAAGTCCTTGGTTTTAGCTCACTTAGGTCACTTCTGGTCCACTGCTGCCTCTTGTGGTCAGTGTTAGTCACTGATTTTCTCCATGCAGTTGTGGACCAGAAATGTTTCATCATCTAGGTTTATGCTAAGAAGGAGAAGAGGAGCAGAGGGGGAGGGGTCAGAGGGGGAGGGGTCAGAGGGGGAGGGGCCAGATTGGCTTCAACTCTGACCTGTGAAATCGTCACAGGAGGAATCTTAAAAGTTTATTTAATGTGTTAAAAACGTTTAAAATCCCTGACTTTTGTGCTGAGATGAAAATATTCCACTCAAACAGACTTTGTGTTTGACCTCTGACCTCTGGATGCCACTTGTGTTTGATGTTCTCGTAGGAGGCGGGGCTGGAGATGGAGAAGCAGACGATGAAGACGTTGGTCTGGGGGTACGACAGTGTCCTCAGACGGTCGTACTCTTCCTGTCCTGCCGTGTCCCACAGGTTCAGACTGATGATCCGTCCGTCCACCGTCACCTGAACGCATCACGCACACACACACGCGCGTCGAGGACAGAGTAAGTGAGAAGTCAAATGTCACACCTCAGCTGAAATGATGCCATTTTGCTGTGATGGCTGATGATGTCATCACAGAGGTCACATGGTCCCTCACCTGGCTGCTGTAGTTGTCAAAGACCGTAGGGATGTATTCTTTGGGAAACGCTCCGGTGGTGTACGAGATGAGGAGGCAGGTTTTTCCCACGGCACCGTCGCCCACAACGACACACTTTATAGTCTGCATGATGACCTCTGACCTCTAGGCTCCAATCACGTGAAACACACACACACACACACACACACACAAACAGTGTAATCCAACTAGGTGACACTACCCTGTTGAACCAGGGTCCATAGAGAAAATAACTGAATTTACTTCTCAGGGAGTTTCTGGCCCACGGCTGCCTCGTGTGGTCAGTTTCTGTCGATGAAAAAAAATCTGATAGAAGGATTTTCAGCAGTTACAACAGTTTGACTCTTAGTGACGGAGGAAACAGAGGAGCGACTGTCGCATCAGGGTGAACTAAAATCTCTGATTTTCTCCATGAGGTTTGGTGTGGCTGCACAGACATTTATTTTCAGGTTAATGCTTTGGATCTGAAACAACAAAACTTACTGGTCAGTTCACCTTCAGAGCGTGTGATTGGTTGATCAAGCTGCTTTATTTTCCTCAGTTAAAATGAAGTTGGTTCAGAAGGATGTGTAGTTCCATCGTCTGCCTGTAATGGGCAACAGAGAGTTAAATGTAAAGGAGCAGAGGTCAGGGTCCAACCAAGACCTGGAAGGACTGTCTTTATTCTCTGTCCAAATTCACTTGCAAAATGACCACCGGGGGCAGCGATGGACCAGCAGCTCCTGTATCCATACCTAAAATGTGTTATTTTCTCTATGGACTTTGGAATGTAGGCGTGAGAGTTCAGTAAACTTTGTCTTTAACTTTGAAATAAAGACAAAAAAAAAAAAACTCTCAGAAAATCTGACCTGAGGTCACGTTTATGAGCTCAGAGAGGAGTGTGCAGGTGACCTGACTCAACTTCCTGTTTTATAAACTGACAGCTCTGGTCACAGTTTCACAACCGTGAGTTTTGCAAAACGATAAGAAGATGAAGTAAAGTTTGGATGAAGAGAGAGAGAGAGAGCAGTGTCTCCAGATGTCTGGACACAGTGTGAGGTTCAACCCAGACTCTGGGGACACTGACTCCACCTAACCCCCCCCCCAACACACACACACACACACACTGTGGGTGTGGGCTGCCTGATCTCAACCATTGATTATTTAGGTTTTTTTAGTCCTTTAATTCTGACCAGGAGTAAAATAAATGAGTACTTTGTTTCTGGACACGTCTGTCTTCTTAATGAACTAAAATGAATATTAAAATCAATAAGTAACAGGAAGCCGAGGTTTATCACCCAATCACCAAAGTCCATGGAGAAAATCAGAGATTTTAGTTCAGACCAAAGTCCATGGAGAAAATCAGTGATTTTAGTTCAGACCAAAGTCCATGGAGAAAATCAGTGATTTTAGTTCAGACCAAAGTCCATGGAGAAAATCAGTGATTTTAGTTCAGACCAAAGTCCATGGAGAAAATCAGTGATTTTAGTTCAGACCAAAGTCCATGGAGAAAATCAGAGATTTTAGTTCAGACCAAAGTCCATGGAGAAAATCAGTGAGGTAAAATCTCTGACTTTTTCTTTGGACTTTAGTGTGATATAAAACCCAGGATATTGCAGACAGGAGTAAAAACTCAGAGGTTTGGAAATGTTCTCTTTGTGAAACTCAGTCGTTCTTGGGGGAAAAGGAAGCTTTGGGTTTGATGAAGAAACAGTGAGAGAAATGATGAGGGAGGATCTGAAGCAGGAGAGAAATGACTTCAAATATTCAGCCAGAGGAGGATCTGAAGCAGGAGAGAAATGACTTGAAATATTCAGCCAGCAGTAGTAGTAACAGTAACAGTAGTAACAGCACCCCCCCCTCACCGCCCCCCCACCTGTGTCTGTTTCCGTCTGATCCCAGATCAGCAGATTTACATGAATCATCCAACGTCACTCTTCATGAGGCAGAAATTTAAATGTTAAAAATAAAAAAGAGGAAACGTCCAGTTACAGTAACGACTCCGCTCCACTTTGGTCTCAGTTTCAGGAACTAGCTAACTGTTTCGTCCAATCAGCTGCTTTTATTTATTTTACAATGAGTCAGAGAGGAAGTACTGGAACCTGGACCAGAACCGAACCAGTGTCTGGTCTGAGTGGGTGAAGAAGAGAACATCCTCCAACTCAAGTCAGAAACTGCACTGAAAATACACCTCCTGAAGTACTACTGTAGTACAAGTACAAGTACAAGTACAAGTACAAGTAACCAGGAATCAACGCTTTGAAATGAGGATCAAAGTCCAGGATGAATTAGGATTCATTTCCCACCGCTGACAGGTCAGACCTGGGGGGGGGGCGGGGCTTCCTGTTTACAGCTGCCGTCTTCTCTTACACCGTACTTCAACAAAGTCGGTGGATTTTTATTTCCTGACGGCGTCACGTGACGGCGGCCGATCCTTCCACTCCTGACTGACCCTCAGGCCGTGGTGGAAACACCGTCAGTTCCACCGCGGCCTGGGGGCAAACAGAGGTCCAGAACTGTGACCGCCGGGGTCAAAGTTCAGAGACAGACGTTAATTTGGAGACAGACGGTGTCTCACACACACACACACACACACACACTGACCTGTCCTCTGCCCAGGGACTCGCATCAGAACATCTGTCCTCCTGTGTTGACGCACAAATATTCTCGGAGTGTGTGTGTGTGTGTGTGTGTGTGTGTGAGAGAGAGTGTGTTTAGGGCTGGGCTAACTGGTAGGAGGAAGTCCAAAGAAAGAGAGAAAACAAGAGAGGAAGAGCTTTAGGGAAGTTCACGTGTGTGTGGGTGTGGGTGTGTGTGTGAGTGTGTGTGGGTGTGTGTGTGTGTGGGGGTGTGTGTGTTCCAAACGTCACCTCAAGAACAAATTACTGTTCAACCTGTGAACAAACTGTGACCATCACAACAAGAACTGCATCACTGTGTATCTGTGTGTATCTGTGTGTATTTGTGTGTATCTGTGTGTATTTGTGTGTATTTGCTCTTGAGGTTTTTCTCCTTTTGTTCTTGCTCTGTTTTGGTTTTTGTTTTTGAAGGTTCGTCAGTTTGACTGTGACGATTAAGCTACACCACCTCTTTATGGCCACAAGAGGGCAGCAGCACACTGCGGAGATATGCTAATAAGAGGAGCAGTACAATCAGAGGAATTCATCGTTGTTTCAAAAACCTACAGAATCACGTGACGTGTTGTATGAAGGTAAAGGGGAGTTAAAAAAACTCTTGACTTTTTACTCTCTGTTCGGTTTCAAAACGTTTCGTTTTGTTCACATTTCTAAAAAGAACCCGCGACTCCTGACGACAGAGTCGCTGTCGTTTCAGATATTGTTTCGAGTCCGTGAAGGCACCAGAGGAGGATCTCTGACTGACGACTTCTTTTTTCAGCAGAGTTTTTACACTCGCTCTACAGTCGTTCCGGTTCTGGTCCCGGATCTGGATCTTCCTGGAAGTCGGACCTGGTCGATCAGTCATCGATGGACTAGAGCAGGTGAGTGGGCAGCTGTCTGACCTCTGACCCCAGAGAGGCTCCAGACCAGCTGACCTGATGGAGATCGATCCATCGGTCATCGATAAGTTACCGCTCGGTGTGTTTGTTGTCGTGACACTGGCGATGTTTGAAATGTCCGGACCGTGAACGTCTCATCTGAGCAGGGATTCTTATCTGACAGGAACCACTTCAGTGTCTCGTGTCAGGCTGTTTTTACACTGTCGGTTGATGACGTCACGCTGACGTGACGTCACGCTGTGTGAACAATTTCATCACGACTACTTTGCAGTATGATGATAATGACGATGATGATGTCAGGTTTAATTTATTAAACGTATGCAGAAATATTCCCATCATGCACCAGGTGTTGTTACTTTAGTGTTATTTTATAAAGTTTCACCAGAGGGCGCGTTTACTTTTTAATCTCTCTCGTGGTTTCTGTCTCTTAAATGATAGAAATCTTTTTGCCTTTTGCTTTCTAACCCCCCCTGCCCCCCCCCCACTCCCCTCCTCCCTGGACATGGCAGTAGGTGGAGCCCCCTGTCTGACGTTGTTGAAACTGTGTGAAACATTTGTTGACATCAGTTCTTTTTATTGAAACCATTTTTGTTGTTGTTGTTGTTATTGTGAAGGGGGGTCAGAGGGGTCAGAGGGGTCAGAGGGGAGAACCTGCACTGACGGGGGGGCAGGTTAACAAAGGGAACCACCAACCCCCCCCGTTCCCTCAAATCGTCACTGATTCTCATGTAAATATTGAACTGACGTCTTCGTCTTCGTCCTCAGACATGGAACTTTCACGTGCGTTGACGGTGTGTGTGCTGTGTGTTCTTGTTCGAGCTGAAGTTTTGGAGAGGAAACACCACACCCATCTGGACCAACAACACCACCACCTGGTTTCCAGTGGTAATTCAGCCTCAGGTACTGTAAAATATCTCTACAAAACAAAACAAAACAAAAAACAACTGAGCGTTGAAGCTGTTAGCAGCTAGCAGCTAGCCGTTAGCAGCTGTCTGTGTGCTAACACGGTGAGATCATCATTTAGCTCCGCCCACTCAGATTGGTTTAGGTAGAGAATCGTCCTGGTCCTGGTTCTGGTCCATTCAGATCTGGTCCCAAGTCTCAACCTTCTGTGGTCTTTATTTATCGTCTGTCCTGGTTCTGGTCCTGGTTCTGGTCCTGGTCCTGGTCCTGGTCCAGACCAGTTTCTGTTCACACTCTCTTGTCGCTTTGTTAAAGTCAACACCGTCCTCGTTTGTGTCTCAGTTTGTCCTCAGGGACAGGAACAGGAGAGCAGACATGATTCTGCCCGTCCTGGACCGTTGGTTTAGCTCATGGGCTATTCTGCAGTGGTGCATTGTGGGTACTCAGGCTGGCACTGGTCCAGCCAGACAATGACTTTGACTCGACCTTCTTGTTTCTTTAACTTTATTATCTGAGTATTTCTGTCGTCACAGCTGCTGATCTTTAATCCTGAGCCAAAAAAACTGGGACCTCCTCTGTCCCTGTCCCTGGACCTCTGTCCCTCTGTCCCTG